TTTCCACCACAAAGCACCAGAACATCGCCATAAAGAGTAGAACCAGCTCACCTGCTTACTCTATGATTTGACTATCAGATGTAAACATTTTCTTTAGAAAAAATATTTTAGAATGAATAGTTTCACCATATTAAAACGGGATTTCAGTTCACATAACAGGGTTGACCTTAAAATGAGGGACAGACGTAAATGAATCCCTTGTCACATGGAATAAATACTAATCTTCAGAAATTACTTTGTTAAAGCAACAAAATAACTAGGGCTTTACAATGATGGTGAAACTTGGGAGAAATATTGTGATTAAGTGGGTTACAATCTTCCTAGAAGTGACACAGGGTTGATGGAGGGACAGCTTGATTGAATTTTCCATGTGGTCTATATTAAAAGGACACTTCGTTTAATATAACATGCTTTCAAAATTCAATATTGGTGCACAATTTCTACATAAAATATCAAAGGACGCAAAAGGCACTCTTTTTTTTCATGGAATGACCCAGAGGTCTCCTATGCCTCAGATCCACACAGTGGTGTCTGAACATCAAGCAGAATGACAACACTTCCTTTGTATAGCCTGAAGACAGGAACAGGGCTGAAGATACTAGGCCTGAAACCAGAATGGCCCCCAAACAGATGTCTTGAATTAAGTCCTCCTGCATCCCAGAATGCCTCTAAACCATAGTGGCTCATAAATCAATGTGGGCTACATAAATAACAGCATCATATAGTCAGGCCTTCTCTCTCTGTTTATACAGAATGACTCAGCAAATGTGTGGCTGGCAAACATGCCTGCAGTGAGACCCATCCAGCCTCCCATTAAAGAAGTAGTTAAATGCACATAGGGACAAGGAGAGAGCGAGAGAGAGAGCAAGAGAGAATGGGAGAAAACGAGTGAGTGCTCCATGAATGCTTGCCATATGGTACACATCTTATTCTGGCATTCCTCAAGTTTTCCAGCTTAATAAAGTTTTTCTTGTCTAGCTTTAAAAAATGTTTTCCCAACCAACTCACTCGGAAGCAGAGATATCAAACAAACCTGAAAACAAAAGCTTGTTTGAGAAGCCAAAATGGTCTACCGGAGAGGCCCGTGGTCATAAAGGGTCACAAGGAGCATATCACTGGAGCCTTGTGTTGTTTGACTGTTTTCCCCCTTTTGGTAGTGTAATAGCAGATTATGATGAATGCTAAAGATAAAAGGGTAGGCGTTACAGTGATAGAAGGCAGGATGCCATGCAAAAATGGAATGACAACAATGGACCTTGTATCAATCACACTGATTCTTTTTGGACAACAAAGCACTAACTAGACCAAATATGGAAAATATGGAACACCAAGCATAACTACTTAATGTTTTGGGTTTGGTTTATTTGTAAATGCATCTTACGTAGAACAAAGAAAAATATATCATATCTATATAATATATCATCAATTGTCATTATGTACACTTTAAATTTTTGCACTAGAAATTTACACAATCACAGAAATTACAAGAATAATATTTATGTTCCTTTTAGATGCATCTAGCTACAGTATACACATACATTCATGGGTTAAAATAACACCTGTTTTTAAAAGCATTTCAAATTGAATGGAAGGAATGCATTTCTATAAGCGTACTGCCCTCCTTAGACCTCTTAGGTTCAGGTATTGTTCATACATAAAGGACATGCCTATCAAAGACAGTGCAGTTTTGCAGAGGGAAAATAAAACCATTATAAAACACATACTCCATCCTTGCATGATAAGAAACACTTACAGTATTTGAGTTTTCATTTTTCCCTACCTAAGCCAATCATGTGTCAGCTGTAGGTGAGGAGGGTGACTACGGCACATGTGCATTGGAGGCTAAGATTTCTAAGACCATTTACTTTCACATGTTCAAGAGTAAGTAACTAATAAATAGCACCATGCAATTCTAGTTCTTATCCACCAAATGCAATGCCTCAGGAGCCTTGGCTTACTTAGCACTGCTATCAATTTGAAGTAGAACTCACAGTTGGAAGGCTGTAGGTTTGTTTCAGTACCATGCGTTGATGACATGAGGCAGACTATTGTGTTGATTTTGAGGAGACACTGAACTCAGGCTAGAATCCCTAAAAACAGAGTTAAACTATTTTACTGAAAACATTGATTACGCTGACATTGATCTCATGGATTGGGTCCCTCATAGCTCCTACACCAGCATTGTATGGAACTGTACATTGATCGAATGTCACTGACATACACACATACTTTATGTTCTGATTGACATGCTCATATTGGTGTACAGTATACAAAATGGCAGGGTAGACATTCAATGCTCATGTGCTATGAAGGTTTTATACAGCCGCCAACTTGTTAAGTGCTATCATTATGTTCAAACAGATACTCTGTACTCAGTTGAGATATTGGCCCCAAAGAAGGACATATTGTTACAAGGCCAGACACGTGGATGACATTATGATATTCAAATAGCATGAGCTTCAAGTCACGGACATAACACACATTCAACTAAATAAAAAATAACATCTCCTCCAGCTAATGTATACAAAAGGCCAGTCGGTTCACATATAAACAACACACCATAAAACAATGTGCGCATTTCCTTTTTGTTGCACCTAGTTGTACTGCAGTTGGCTGTTCACTATGAGCTGTTAACTGATCCACATGCCTTTTACCTGGCATGAGTCATCATAGTGCTCCTGTAACGAAAATAGAAGACAGCCTCCACATTTTGCCAGTAGCTTATAATGGCATGATCCTGATAATGATCAGTAGTTCAACATGAACGTTCGAGTATTAATATAAATCTTTTGGTTTAAAAAACTACAGTTGAAGTCGAAAGTTTACATACACTTAGGTTGGAGTCATTAAAACGTGTTTTTCAACCACTCCACAAATGTCTTGTTAACAAACTATAGTTTTGGCAAGTTGGTTAGGACATCTACTTTGTGCATGACACAAGTAATTTTTCCAACAATTGTTTACAGACAGATTATTTCACTTATAATTCACTGCATCACAATTCCAGTGGGTCAGAAGTTTACATACACTAAGTTGACTGTGCCATTAAACAGCTTGGAAAATTCCAGAAAATGAGGTCATGGCTTTAGAAGCATCTGATAGGCTAATTGACATTGACACAATAGTCATTTGAGTCAATTGGAGGTGTACCTGTGGATGTATTTCAAGGCCTACCTTCCAACTCAGTGCCTCTTTGCTTGACATCATGGGAAAATGAAAATAAATCAGCCAAGACCTCAGAATTGTTTTTTGTAGACCTCCACAAGTCTGGTTCATCCTTGGGAGCAATTTCCAAATGGCTGAAGGTACAACGTTCATCTGTACAAACAATAGTATGCAAGTATAAACACCATTGGAACACGCAGCCGTCATACCGCTTAGGAAGGAGACGCGTTCTGTCTCTTAGAGATGAACGTACTTTGGTGCGAAAAGTGCAAATCAATCCCAGAACAACAGCAAAGTACCTTGTGAAGATGCTGGAGGAAACCGGTACAAAAGTATCTATATCCACAGTAAAACGAGTCCTATATCGACATAACCTGAAAGGCCACTCAGCAAGGAAGAAGCCACTGCTCCAAAACCACCATAAAAAAAGCCAGACTACGGTTTGCAACTGCACATGGGGACAAAGATCGAACTTTTTGGAGAAATGTCCTCTGGTCTGATAAAACTGTTTGGCCATAATGACCGTCATTATGTTTGGAGGAAAAACGGGGACGCTTGCAAGCCGAAGAACACCATCACAACCGTGAAGCACGGGGGTGGCAGCATCATGCTGTGGGGGTGCTTTGCTGCAGGAGGGACTGATGCGTTTCACAAAATAGATGGCATCATGAGGAAGGAAAATTATGTGGTTATATTGAAGCAACATCTCAAGACATCAGTCAGGAAGTTAAAGCTTGGTCGCAAATGGGTCTTCCAAATGGACAATGACCCCAAGCATACTTCCAAAGTTGTGGCAAAATGGCTTAAGGACAACAAAGTCAAGGTATTGGAGTGGCCATCACAAAGCCAGGACCTCAATTCTATAGAAAATGTGTGGGCAGAACTGAAAAAGCGTGTGCGAGCAAGGAGGCTTACAAACCTGACTCAGTTACACCAGAGGAATGGGCCAAAATTCACCCAACTTATTGTGGGAAGCTTGTGGAAGGCTACCTGAAACGTTTGACCCAGTTAAACAATTTAAAGGCAATGCTACCAAATACTAATTGAGTGTATGTAAACTTCTGACCCACAGGGAGTGATGAAAGAAATAAAAGCTGAAATAAATCATTCTCTCTACTATTATTCTGACATTTCACATTCTTAAAATAAAGTTGTGATCCTAACTGTCCTAAGACAGGGAATATTTACTGTGATTAAATGTCAAGAATTGTGAAAAACTGAGTTTAAATGTATTTGGCTAAGGTGTATGTAAACTTCCGACTTCAACTGTACGTAGTAAAAGTTTTAAACTCCCTTGGCGATGAGAAGAAGGAATGTTGATGCATTAATTATAGGCAGGTTCATCAACAACAATTAATTCAAACCTCAGTGTAAAAATACTTTGCATAAGAAAACTTTTCATCTTATCTTTAAAATTTGAATGACGACAAAACCCCCAAAAATGAAAGAAAAGCTATTTACAAGACGTAATACACCTGTGAAGATATCATTTCATTTCATGTCGAGTAAGAGTTTTTTTTTTGTTCAAAATGTTTTCTCTTTTGAGTCTTTGTATCACCCAATAAATTATCACAGGACCACCAACGTACGTCACACACTCCTACACAAACACAATATTCAAACACTCTCTCCCTTAACCGTTGTTTGAACGTTCATTCTCTAAGTCCCACTGTCCCCTCTGCTATATGCACTATCCCACATTCATTCCTCCAACTCTCTCTCTCACACACACACACACACAAACACCCTCTACATGTCTCTCTGTGTGTCCCCTGGCGTGGCCTCAGTCTAGCAGGATGGGGGGGGGGGGGGGGGGGGGGTTGTCAGCAGGGTCAGTTTGCGGAGCGCACTGTCCTGCTGCTTCGTGGAAAGCGGTGGACTTTGATGTGTTTGGACAGGTGATCACTGCGGGCAAACTTCTTCTCGCAGACAGGACACTGGTAAGGCTTCACTCCAGAATGGGAGCGCCGGTGTCTGGAGAGTTCGTCTGACCTCGAGAACCTGAGAGACAGACAGACCCAGAGCACAAAAGACATGAGACCTACAGTTGAAGTCGGAAGTTTACATACACCATAGCCAAATACATTTAAACTCAGTTTTTCACAACTCCTGACATTTAATCCTAGTAAAAATTCCCTGTCTTGGAACAGTTATGATCAACACTTTATTTTAAGAATGTGAAATGTCAGAATAATAGTAGAGAGAATGATTTATTTCAGCTTTTACAGTGGGGAAAAAAAGTATTTAGTCAGCCACCAATTGTGCAAGTTCTCCCACTTACAAAGATGAGAGAGGCCTGTAATTTTCATCATAGGTACACGTCAACTATGACAGACAAAATGAGAAAAATCACATTGTAGGATTTTTAATGAATTTATTTGCAAAATATGGTGGAAAATAAGTATTTGGTCAATAACAAAAGTTTCTCAATACTTTGTTATATACCCTTTGTTGGCAATGACACAGGTCAAATGTTTTCTGTAAGTCTTCACAAGGTTTCCACACACTGTTGCTGGTATTTTGGCCCATTCCTCCATGCAGATCTCCTCTAGAGCAGTGATGTTTTGGGGCTGTCGCTGGGCAACACAGACTTTCAACTCCCTCCAAAGATGTTCTATGGGGTTGAGATCTGGAGACTGGCTAGGCCACTCCAGGACCTTGAAATGCTTCTTACGAAGCCACTCCTTCGTTGCCCGGGCGGTGTGTTTGGGATCATTGTCATGCTGAAAGACCCAGCCACGTTTCATCTTCAATGCCCTTGCTGATGGAAGGAGGTTTTCACTCAAAATCTCACGATACATGGCCCCATTCATTCTTTCCTTTACACGGATCAGTCGTCCTGGTCCCTTTGCAGAAAAACAGCCCCAAAGCATGATGTTTCCACCCCCATGCTTCACAGTAGGTATGGTGTTCTTTGGATGCAACTCAGCATTCTTTGTCCTCCAAACACGACGAGTTGAGTTTTTACCAAAAAGTTATATTTTGGTTTCATCTGACCACATGACATTCTCCCAATCCTCTTCTGGATCATCCAAATGCACTCTAGCAAACTTCAGACGGGCCTGGACATGTACTGGCTTAAGCAGGGGGACATGTCTGGCACTGCAGGATTTGAGTCCCTGGCGGCGTAGTGTGTTACTGATGGTAGGCTTTGTTACTTTGGTCGCAGCTCTCTGCAGGTCATTCACTAGGTCCCCCCGTGTGGTTCTGGGATTTTTGCTCACCGTTCTTGTGATCATTTTGACCCCACGGGGGGAGATCTTGCGTGGAGCCCCAGATCGAGAGCGATTATCAGTGGTCTTGTATGTCTTCCATTTCCTAATAATTGCTCCCACAGTTGATTTCTTCAAACCAAGCTGCTTAACTATTGCAGATTCAGTCTTCCCAGCCTGGTGCAGGTCTACAATTTTGTTTCTGGTGTCCTTTGACAGCTCTTTGGTCTTGGCCATAGTGGAGTTTGTAGTGTGACTGTTTGAGGTTGTGGACAGGTGTCTTTTATACTGATAACAAGTTCAAACAGGTGCCATTAATACAGGTAACGAGTGGAGGACAGAGGAGCCTCTTAACGAAGACGTTACAGGTCTGCGAGAGCCTGAAATCTTTTTGTAGGTGACCAAATACTTATTTTCCACCATAATTTGCAAATAAATTCATAAAAAATCCTACAATGTGATCTTCTGGATTTTTTTTTCTCAATTTGTCTGTCATAGTTGACGTGTACCTATGATGACAATTACAGGCCTCTCTCATCTTTTTAAGTGGGAGAACTTGCACAATTGGTGGCTGACTAAATACTTTTTTTCCCCACTGTATGTCTTTCATCACATTCCCAGTGGGTCAGAAGTTTACATACACTCAATTAGTATTTGGTAGCATTGCCTTTAAATTGTTTTACTTGGGTCAAACGTGTCGGGTAGCCTTCCACAAGCTTCCCACAATAAGTTGGGTGAATTTTGGCCCATTCCTCCTGACAGAGCTGGTGTAACTGAGTCAGGTTTGTAGGACTCCTTGCTCGCAAACGCTTTTTCAGTTCTGCCCACAAATATTCTATAGGATTGAGGTCAGGGCTTTGTTGTCCTTAAGCCATTTTGCCACAACTTTGGAAGTATGCTTGGGGTCATTGTCCATTTGGAAGACCCATTTGCGACCAAGTTTTAACTTCCTGACTGATGTCTTGAGATGTTGCTTCAATATATCCACATAATTTTCCTTCCTCATGATGCCATCTATTTTGTGAAGTGCATCAGTCCCTCCTGCAGCAAAGCACCCCCACAGCATCATGCTGCCAACCCCGTGCTTCACGGTTGTGATGGTGTTCTTCGGCTTGCAAGAGACCCCCTTTTTCCTCCAAACATAACGGTGGTCATTATGGCCAAACAGTTCTATTTTTGTTTCATCAGACCAGAGAACATTTCTCCAAAAAGTAAGATATTCGTCCCCATGAGCAGTTGCAAACCGTAGTCTGGCTTTTTAATGGCGGTTTGGGAGAAGTGGCTTCTTCCTTGCTGAGCGGCCTTTCAGGTTATGTCAATATAGGACTCGTTTTACTGTGGATATAGATACTTTTGTACCTGTTTCCTCCAGCATCTTCATAAGGTCCTTTCCTGTTGTTCTGGGATTGATTTGCACTTTTCGCACCAAAGTACGTTGATCTCTAGGAGACAGAACGCATCTCCTTCCTGAGCGGTATGACGGCTGCGTGGTCCCATGGTGTTTATACTTGCGTACTATTGTTTGTACAGATGAACGTGGTACCTTCAGGCGTTTGGAAATTACTCCCAAGGATGAACCAGACTTGTGGAGGTTTTGGCTGATTTCTTTTGATTTTCCCATGATGTCAAGCAAAGAGGCACTGAGATTGAAGGTAGGCCTTGAAATACATCCACAGGTACACCTCCAATTGACTCAAATGATGTCAATTAGCCTATCAGAAGCTTCTAAAGCCATGACATCATTTTCTGGAATTCTGGAAGCTGTTTAAAGGCACAGTCAACTTAGTGTATGTAAACTTCTGACCCACTGGAATTGTGATACAGTGAATTATAAGTGAAATAATCTGTCTGTAAACAATTGTTGGAAAAATTACTTGTGTCACGCACAAAGTAGATTTCCTAACCGGCTTGCCAAAACTATAGTTTGTTAACAAGAAAATAGTGGAGTGGTTGAAAAAACGAGTTTTAATGACTCCAACCTAAGTGTATGTAAACTTCCAACTTCAACTGTATATCAGTGGCACTGTTTCCCATAACACCCTGAGATTTAAAAAAAGCCCCCTCTCTCTGTCTGACTACACCAGAACACAACACAGGATAAAGGATCTTTCCAATACTCTTCAAAAAAAGAGTTCTACCCATATTATAGCTCTACCCATATTTGGGTTTAACACATGTTCACAGGAAAGTCAAACAGATCTGTTTTTGGTCGTCACTCTAATCCCTCGTTAAAGGGTTAACTCATTACTCCTGACAGACTGTGTGTGTGTGTGTGTGTGCGTGGGGCGTTGAGTCTGTTTAGTCTGGAACAGGGTATTGATTTCATAACATATCACGAGCAGGCCCTTTTCCCAGGAAGGTGTTAATTCCTAATGGTAACATACTGATTAAAGCAATTTAAAGTAATTCCTAGATATCTTTTCCATAGACATTGATCATGAACCATGCTGCAACTGTGCTATTGAGATTAAATAATAGGATCCCTGCAAGATACGTGGTAAAATGGCTGCATACACACATGGAATAGCAGGTGCTACACATACCGTATATAACATGGTAGTAAAATGGTTACGTATGACTAGGCTACATTAGCCTATATGGGCAGAAGTAATTTTAAAACAAATGTGCTACTGCATGTAAACTAGATAAGTGGTTCTGGGGATATTATCTGCATGAAGACCGTGAGGTACATTTTTCTTACTCTGACATTAGGAAACCTCATTGTAATACTATTATATTACTTATGTACTATACGTTATGCGTCAGTACCCTCTATACCCCAAAGCTGATATTGTTCTATAACTCCATCATGTTGAGACATGATGGAGACAGTTCATTTAGTTGTCTCTGACCGAAACTCAGCCTCACCTTGTCCTCTAAGCCAATAAGTCTTACAGTGTAACTGAAGGGGCCACAAAGGGACCCGATACACTACTATCTCTTCCTGGATGTTGATATGAAGTGTTTCACTGTAGGAAACTGTAAGGCATTTTATATATCTGCTATATGAAACTTTGTTATATAAGCAGTGGTTTAGAGGTGATGGAGGTTGGGTTTATGAGATCCTGAGTAAGGCTGTTTGTGGAGCCCCTGTGGGGCAGGGTGGGACGCCCAGGCATTGGGAGGGGAGCCATGATTCCCATCACCTCCACAGCTCAGTTAGGCTACACTCTGGCTCTGTTCGAGCTTGTCCCTGATCTCAGCCCCGTAGCATACAGTAATTACTGATAAGAGCTGGCAAAGGCCAAAAGGTGGGGACTTGAAATTACATAATCCCGCATGCAGCAACCACAAAGCGCTTTAGTTCCAAATTTGAAGAATGGACACTAAGGAATAATATAATCATATATATTTTTTATATATTTTTTACTGTAAGTTGAACCGGGTACAAAAACAAGACAAACCCTTATTTTAGAGCGTCATGGTGTTTTCACAATAAACGGTTTGGGTTCAAACCTACTGTCCACTAGTAACCCCATATCAATGTTCCCCTGCAAGTCTGTACAGACGTGAAAGTGTGAGTGCACCAACTTAAATGTGTTTGTGCCGATCTACGCTTGCCTGCATGCATGTACAATATATATTGTGTGTGTGATGAAATGCAAGAGGAATCACAGCTGTATAGTATATTTGTCATTTGGTTTTATGGACATGAAGAGAATCAGAGGAATGCCAAAAACACTATCTTTCATTACAACACAAGGCACTCAATTTGCAGATGGCTGGAGGTGCATATTTCCCAAGCTCACTTCCATTTCCTGACCAGGACGAGGGAAGGAGGAGGAGGGCTCCCTCAGACAGAGAGCAGTCTCTGAAGGCCACACTGTGCCCTGGGGGAGGTGGGTGGATACCACAGGACTGCTGAGCACTGCCAATCTTATCAGACTGCTGAGCACTGCCAATCTTATCAGACTGGAGACCTTCTCTCCAGCTATTCCCTCGTTTACACTGAGCTTTCTATGTCTAGCGTTTAGCTGTGCAACTGTCGGGTGAAGAGGTTAGGGAGACGGATTTGAGACCAAAGGGCTGCAAGTTCATAGTTCATACAATAGGTTGAACTTTGGTTGTTGAAGAATTAACTGGATGTTGGATTTCCTATTTGTGGGACTACATATCTGGCTGGTGAATGAATGATATGCAGGTTGACGTTTATTGTCATGAGTCTTGTCCTGGAGGCAGACCTGAGCGATTCCCTCTTAGTTAGGCCAGCTGCAAAGTCAAAATTGTCTATATTGTAAAAATTCATGAAAACTAAAATTAGCGTTTTGGTCTTAATTTAGGGTTAGGCATAAGGGTTAGCAGGGTGGTTAAGGTTAGGGTTAAGGTTAGGGTTAAAATCTCATTTTATGACTTTGTGGCTGTGCCAGATAGTGACCACTCTGCAGAGCTGCCCCCAGAACAAGATTCATGACAAAAAAACACTAACCCACAAATAATATGGGACAAATGCATGCTTTATGCTTGCTGAGTGAGTGGAAACAAAGAAATATGTTTAAAACTCCTTTGGCCCAGTATTAGGTCATGGATTATAATCTAATTAGTATGACAGAAAGTCAGTCAAAGCAAAGTGCTGCTTGCTACCAAAACTTTTAACTTCATTCTGCAAGTGTGTAACAGAGTGCAAACGGAGAGCAAACAGAGAGACAGCTACAGTAGAGGGGGCAAAGTCTGCCCGCACTTCAAAGGCCTTAATCTAATCTCAAACTCTGCAATAGAAGAAAACACAGCGATATGGAGACAACGAGAGAGCATGAGAAGATAACAAATTATATATGGATTTTATACAAGGGAAACAAATCATTTTAGTTCATCATATCCAATCGAGCTGACGTACAATTTGGAAAATTAATTATGTTTTCTCGTAAAATTCAGCTCTGTGTTTTGCAAAACAGCTGGAGGGATTGACTTTGAAAGGAATCATATCACTCCCTGGTAATCAGCAAGCGAAGGAAGTTGATAACCCTGTTAACCTCTGTGAAGAATTGATGAATCTCAGATAATACAACCACAGTCAACAGAGATAGTTGCATACTATGTTGCATCTGCAACTAAAACATGGACTGGTGTCCCTAAACTGTCATACCTGGATGGACCATCACAACTAACAGCTGAACATCAACCCTGTTGCACTAACTGTCACTCCTGGACTTCACTTTTAACATACAGTGCATATAGTCACATGAATAACCACACACTGAGTATACCTATGAGCTCCACCTGTGAAGTAAGACTCTAACCCAACCTATAACGTGCTTGAACCCACTCACCTCCATCCACAGCCAGGCCAGGTGCAGGCAAAGGGCTTCTCCCCCGTGTGCCTCCTCAGGTGGGCCTTCAGGTGGCTGCTCTTGGTGTACATCTTGGCACATCCAGGGAAAGTGCACTTATGCATTTTTATAAGGTCCGCTACCGAGCTCTTCTGGAACTTCTGTCCTCCCACCAGGATCCCTGCAGCCTGGCCACCTGCAAGCCCACCCTCCCCGGGACCCAGGGGTTTGGAGGCTATGGGTACAGGCGCGATACGCACAAATTTAGAAGATGTGCCATTGAGATTAGCTGGAGACACCAGCTGGGGCACCAGGGCAAAAGTCTGGCCCTGGATGTTGACCAGGAGCTGGGCGATTTTGATGTCTGAGGAGGGCTGGGAGGTCTGCTGTGGTACTGGTGTTGGTATCGCACTTGGGATTGGCTCTTGCTTAATTTGGATTGGTTGAATTTGCAGGATGACAGGCGGCACACCGGACCCCTCTACTGATGCTGGTGTACCAGCAGTGTCCTCCTGTTTAATCCCACTACAAAAGTTGGAGTCTATTATTGGGGATGTTGGTGTGTGTTTGGTCTCTGTGGTAGGGAGAGTAGCACTGGCAACAGGTACTGTTTGGTCTGAGTGTGCTAGCCCAGGCTCTGACCCTGTCACCTGACTGTTTACATCCAACATCCCTCCCTCACAAGCCTCATTCTTCAACGCCACCACCTCCATATTCTCCTCCAGGAACTCCTCTATCTCCTCCAGGGTGGGCTGAAACAGCAGCCCTATGTGATCATCCAGGTCCGCTGGGAACTCAGGGAACTCAAAGCACTCCTCTTTGGTTGGCGGAGACAGGCGGTCCCTCTTTGACTCCCATGCTAGACCCATGGGGAGGATGGGTGGTACTGAGGGGGATAGAGAGGGAGAAACTCCACTTCTCAGTGTGGCCTGGGAGAGCAGGAAGTCCAGGAGACCATCCTGGCTCTCTCCACTGCTGCTGCTGCTGCCGTAGCTGGAACCCAGCACCTGGGACTCAGGGCTGGAGCAGGAGCAAGGGCTGGACGAGTCACTCAGGTCGTCCTCTGAGAACGGGGAGGACAGCGCCTGGTAGACGCCCATGTCTGTCACCATGTCCGATGCGTAATGGTCTGCCGGAGAGCCGGCGTAATACATGAAGGTCTCCTCGCCTATCGGCAAGTGATCCACCACTCCTGACCTGAGCCAGTCACAGATCTGCTCCTCTCTGGTTTATACTAGTTATAAGTGTGATTCAGTTTCTCCTCTTCTCCCTAGAAAAGAGGAATAGATGTCCATCATGTGTGGAAAATTGCATGGCAATGGAGAAAATTACAAGAAAGAGAGATCATGTTATCCTCTGCTAACAACAATAACTCAAGTGTCATAAGGATAAAACAAAACAGTTATTTGTATAACACTTCTATAACACTGCCTCTTGCACCAGAGCATGAGCCTGCCTGGGGCTTTAGACCAGTATTTCCCATCTCCAGTCCTCCAGTACCCCTAACAACACACATTCTTGTTGTAGCCACAGACAAGCACAACTGACTCAATTTATCAGCTAATCATCAAGCCCTCTATTATTTGAATCTGGTGAGTTAGTCCAGGGCTAAAACAAAAATGTGTGTTGTTGGGGGTACTTGAGGAGCTGGGAAACACTGGTTTAGACAGTAAATACCAGCTGGCCTGCCAGGGGTTAATGAGTTCTTATTAAACCTCAGCTTGGGCATGGAGCACTGCCACTGAACTTTTTAGATGTTTAGATTTTGGTGAGCCGTTTTGCACGCCAGGAGTGTCGTTATAGCCATTCCCATTTAAAGAGTATGTTTCCACTTCACTTTCACGTATGGTTGTAAACCAAGTTCGAAAATAGATGACCGACCACAATTGTCAAAGCTTTTCTTCTAGATATACAGGTAATTGACAAAATAAAGGAAACACCAACATAAAGTGTCTTAGCATTGGGCTACCACGAGCCAGAACAGCTTCAATGCACCTTGGCATGGTGGTGGAAAACACTGTCTTGGCGCCGCTCCAGAAAGTGTTTAATTGGGTTGAGATCTGGTGACTGAGATGGCCATGGCATACATTGTTTTCATGCTCATCAAACCATTCAGTGACCACTCGTGCCCTGTGGATGGGGGCATAGCCATGTGAGCCAAAATAATGGCCCAAAAAATAGCCTGCCCAGCAATTTCATAGATGAACCTAAGCATGATGGGATGTTAATTGCTTAATTAAGTCAGGAAACACACCTGGGTGGAAGCACCTGCTTTCAATTACTTTGTATCCCTCATTTACTCAAGTTTTACCATTATTTAGGCAGTTACCTGTGTATCATTGCAACATTAGCCTAGTGTAATAGTAGTCCTAGTCTAATTCCCATAGGCTACTCCAGGGCATTCAACAGTTGCAGTCAACCTAACTTGTCCGCTTTAAATAATAGACTTGCTTAACCACACATTTCAGTGAATTTTATCATCAAGTGATGGGCAACTGATTTTTCTTCTATTCATTCAATAAGATTAGTGGATATGATAAGTAAGGTACATGGTGTATTCTATCTTTACATTATTTAAAAACATTTTATTCATTTAGTAGACGCTCTTATTCAGAGCGACTTACAGTTAGTGAGTGCATACATTTTCTTCCAAGTAGTACCTGCTGGGGATTTTCCTTGGTAAAATTTAGGAAAAAATAGTCTGTACAATCGAAGAGATTTTGTTGGCAATGATTCTCTGCTGTTGGCTTTGATCATTATTAAAACATACGTGTTTTACACTGTAATAAATGTGGGTGCTTGAAACAAGTTGAGCGCCCCCTTCCGTAGACCTACAGCGTTCAGTGATTTGACCGATAATAACCTGAACATCATAAAAGCGTTGACAGCGTTGACTTGGCTACAACAAACACTTTGAATGGATCTGGCTGGGGGCAATGAACTTCTGTCATACTACACAGTAGCCTATTTGAATAAACCAAAAACATTATTTAAAAATACGTAGCAGATAAAATGGTGACAACTATGGTGTAGGCAATGTTAAAGAGATTTACATTGTAGGCCTAACCACATTGATAACATGTGACAGTCTCCCATTCCCTTTCTGTAAAAAACATTTTTTCTAGTTGAATGCAATAACCTATGCATCTAAAATATAGCCTATCCAAAACAGTGCCATTTTGATGCATACATCCACTGTGAAGAATATGTCCCTACACTATGCACATTATGAGCATATGTCAACATACTCAGCATAAACCTGTTCATTCGACGTAGCAGTTTTCCCTGGACTGTGTGCGCCCCATAGGCAGAAAGTATTGAGCACCATGCGTCCTCTCGACGTAAATATGTTGTAGTGTCCAGGGCAGCGATGGCCGAGGGAGCGCACCAGGGGACTCATGCGTTCTCTGCCATCACTTCCCATGTAAAACACTATTCACGGCATCATTTATGCACTTACCTTTATGTATAGAGAGAATTTTTGTCCTTTCACTTTTAGCAAGTCTTAGTAAGAGATCACTTCTCCGTTGGTGAGATGGCGTCAATAGGGTTGTAGATAACCCCTTGAGAGGAGCTTCACATCGCAATGCGGGACGGTAGGGCTGGCGCGACGATCTACTGTAGTAGTAGTACACGGTTACAGATGATTGGTGCTGTGTAGTTTATAAGTAAAATAAGGGGTTGGCAGTTGGTTTATGAAGGCTCGTCTGCTCTGCGCTTCGTATTGGTTGACAACGCTTGGAGGCTGGACTCCAAATGTGTCGTCAGTAAACTCTCTACAGACAGACTCTACCCACGTTCACGTCCACAGTTTTTATGCTAGTAAATTCATACCGTATATACAAAAAACACAACAGCTGTGATGGACAATTATATAAATGCCGACAGATAATTAGTTGTATGTTCGACATGGTGGGATCTTTTTGTGTCGGTAAAATGAATTAAAGTTTAAGTTTACTTTGATACAATGGTTATTAAATAAATGTTTGCGCATAAAGGCGTTTCCACCGCTATTTCTCTCAAGTATTGATTTAATAACCATTGTATCGAAGTAAATGTGGAGTCACGCGATGATATGGTGTGTGGTCCTCCCACTACGAGTCGGGAAACCATGCAGTTTATTAGGCTACAGATGAAATAAATGATGATGAACTTCACAGGGTGGTGAAAGTGCACGGTGATCTTGATGCTCCTTTCCAATACATATCGAGGGTATTACTCTGATGACGTGATGATCGATGGTTGACTGCCGTTCGACAAATAAAACTATTCTCGCTCTTATCCAGAATAACCTCACTACGTAGACTAGCCTACATGCACATCCCACCCGCACTGTATCTGCGAGCTGTTGGCTGTAGCGCACGTGCCAAGACCAGAGTAGGCACATTTGCAACAGTTTTTGAGACAAAACTATCCGTAGAGTTGAAAATGCATGGAATTATATTGAACTTTAAAAAGTTCAATTGTGTGTACACTAGGTCATCAAGTACTCAATCAATCAATCACATTTATTTATAAAGCCCTTTTTACATCAGCAGATGTCACAAAGTGCTTATACCGAAACCCAGCCTAAAACCACAAACAGCAAACAATGCAGATAAAGAAGCACGGTGGCTAGGAAAAACTCCCTAGAAAGGCAGGAACCTAGGAAGAAACCTAGAGATGAACCAGGCTCTGAGGGGAGGCCAGTCCTCTTCTGGCTGTGCAGGTGGAGATTATATGAGTACATGGCCATTAAGGCCAGATTGTTCTTCAAGATGTTCCAACGTTCATTGATGACCAGCAGGGTCAAATAATAATCACAGTGGTTGTAGAGGGCGCAACATATCACCACCTGATTTTTTTTTATCTGCAACAAGTCAATTTGGTGGAAACACCTGGTGGGAAAATGTCCATATTTTCTTTATGCGGATTCTAGAATCTGTCGCCATTTGGATGGAAAAGTAGCTACTGCAATTAAATTAATTCCCTCTCATCTTCCTGCAGCTAAACACAATAGAGACTGTTGGAAACTTTTATGCAAGCATAGTGAATACCACATAGAAATTGATTTAATTATAAGAACATGTGTGTTTGTATCTAAAATTGATTGTGCTCCATAAAATAAATTGAATCTAGCAGATCTGGTCATGGGCAATTTGTACACTGTAAAAAAAAAAAAAAGAATACACCCACAAATGTTGTTGTTTCAACTAATTATTATGAAGTAACTGGTTCAATAGCCTTTTTTTTGTGAGATGGCCAAATAGTAATTTCTAGTTGAATGAACATGAGACAATTTGAGCAAACACAACATTTTAAGTTCAATTAATTTTTGCATACATTTTCTCATGTTGGAGCTACATTTGGGTGAAATGTTGCGTAAACTAAGTTGAGTAAACTAATATTCAGTTGAAACAACTAGATTTGTTTTTACATGGTACATTTTAAGTGCTGCTCCTTGAGGTCACGCCACACCTATGGCACAGTCCAAAGGTATAATGAAAGGCAGACTATACTCCACAGTGGCCGGTCTATATTTCCCATACAGATTAGATCTCTCCTGATTAGTTAACCAGCTAATGGTAACTTTAGGGAGCACCAGATTACACATGGGTGATTACGAATAACATGGGAGTAAAAGTCTCACCTGGCCGTTCTTTCTCCCACTAAATAAGTTGTTTTGGACTGGTTAAGGGACATGTTGTTGTTTCAATAGCCTACTCACAGACCCCTACACATTAGCTGATTGATTCCATAAGAAATAATAACATGTGATAACATAGCATTTGCATGATGGATTTAGTACATTTAAAATGGTAATCTTCTCTCTAGACAGGATTACTCTAATCTATTCTATATGTACGCCCTACATGTAAAGAAATATCTACCATGTTGGTTGCATGCAAATAGAATAATGGCATATTGTGTATAGAATAATGGCAGACAGGACAATACATCTTAGTGCAGGATACTGGGGACATGTTTACTGTCCATAAATGAATGTCATTGTCCAGTGCAACGCCAGCCCTTAAAGGGGGTTAGTGTGGTAATAGACAATCCTGGTCCCCCATAACTCCAGTCCCAACAGGAAGCTTAAGCCTGTAGTGGCCAGGCCAGGCTGGGGTGTTGAGGTTTTTCTACAAGCTGCTGAGTTAAGACAGGAGGAATTATTCTGGGAACTAGGGGGCAATTAGGGGCAGCGGGACACTTGACTTCACCCTCAGACAGATACTCCCACCTAG